AGACATTTCCGGACATCTCTAACAATCTGGAAATGACTATGATAAAGTTAAATTATTCATAGAATAGTGTTTCTTCAAATATATTACGTAAATGATGAACATCATTCACGCTACAAATATCCTGTTACTATGTATATTACATTATTTACGTGTGTATCTCAAGATATTAATATTCTTGTTCTTCTTCCTTATTTTTTTTTTCAATTTTATTTTTTAATTCTTTCCGTTTATCCGTTTAAGGAAATCTTCATCTCCAGCATGAAATAATAATAATAGATCCTTTCAATTATAAGCTATATTATGTAGGATTAAGGATATCGGTAAGGATCAATTATAATTTCGATCAAAACAATAACGAATATATTTTATTGTATTTTTTTTTCTCTCTCTCATTTATGCATGTTTTCTATGTTATATAGAATAGAAAACAGCATTTATGAAATTTTCTATGTACGAAGTACATCTAGTAAGAGTAACAAGTAAATAAATTATCTATCAATTTCACCAAATACTACATCCAAGGTACCGATAATAGCTACGATATCAGCAAGTAAGCATCTAGGACCTATATGACGCAATGCTGCCAAATGAGCAAAACCTGGTGCTTTGATTTTGCACCTATAAGGCTTGCTACTACCATCGCTTACGAGGTACACACCAAATTCACCTTTTGGTGCTTCAATCGCAGTATATGTTGATCCAGGAGGCACTTGGAATCCTTGAGTATACAGTTTGAAATGATGTATCAATGCTTCCATGCTAGTTTTCATTTCTTCTCTTCTAGGTGGTACGATTTTTGCATCATCGATTCTCACTTCACCCTCTGGCATTTGATTCAAACATTGATAAATGATTCGTAATGATTGACGCATCTCCTCCATGCGGCAAAGATATCTAAAAAAAAAATGTAATTTATCATGAAGCAAAAAAAAAATCTAAGAGAAAAGAAATTTTAAAAGAAATTTTTTTCTTTCAAAAAAGCGATTGATTTAAATAAACAACTTTTAACGTTTTATATTTTTTTCTTTTTATTACCGATCATAACAATCTCCTTTTAAGCCAACTGGAACATCAAATTCAATCAAGTCATAAGCATCATAAGGTGTCTTTTTCCTTATATCCCATTGAATTCCGGAACCTCTTAACATTACTCCGCTGAAGCCCCACTCTATTGCCTGTTCTGCCGTCACTATTCCAATATCTTTTGTACGTTCAGTCCATACTCTGTTTTCTGTTAGCAAGTCTTCTATTTCATCTAATCGGAAAGCGAATTTCGAACTCCATTCATATATGTCATCCATTAAACCCAATGGTAGATCCAATGAAACACCACCAGGACGAATATAAGCCGCATGCATGCGAGCACCACTCACACGTTCGTAAAATTCCATTAATTTTTCTCGTTCTTCAAATAACCAAAAGAATGGTGTTAGAGCTCCAATATCAAGGGCATGCGTTCCAATATTCATAATATGATTTAGAATTCTTGTGATCTCAGCAAATAAAGCTGAAACATATGAATATCTTTATTTATTATTTATTATTTCATTTTTTTATTGTAGTAATATATTATATTATTTTTCTATTTTCTATTTTACTATTTGTTCAATCTCTCTCTTTCTTTTTGGTTCTTTCATCAATCCTGTTATCTATTACTTACTTCTAATATATTTTGCTCGCAAGGGTATATCAATATTTAATAGTTTCTCAATAGCCATAGAAAAACACTGTTCATTACACATCATGGATACGTAATCCAAACGATCAAAATATGGTAAAGCTTGCATATATGTTTTATATTCTACCAATTTTTCTGTACCGCGATGTAAAAGACCTATATGAGGATCAGCGCGAGTTACATACTCAGAATTCATCTCAATTATCAATCGTAATACCCCATGTGCAGCTGGATGTTGGGGACCAAAATTGATTACTACATTTCGATATTCCGATGTTAATTGCGCAGATGTTGTTTGTGGTTCATTCCAGCTTGGCTTGATATAAGGCCATGTCTTCTCTCTTGTAGCTAATATTTTAGAACATTCTTTTTCTAGAAGATGTTTATATTCATCTAGATCAGGCATCCATTGATGCGCTTCTCGTCGTTGACTGCAACATACATTTCCACTTTCTATTTCAAGTTTTTTTTATAATTTTGAATTAGAACAACTATTATTTATAGGTTATGATATCATTATATAACCAAACACATAAATGAATTTAATAATTTTGAATTTAATTAAACTAACCTTACCTTTCAATATTAACCAAGGGTTTAATTCCGTTACTGGCAACAACATTTTCGTTCAATGTTCTGAGTAACAAATTATTAGAGCGAAGAAAAGATCCTAATGCTCTGACAGTCATTCTCATCTTTAATTGCGTCGCACTGAAAGCACACTCCTCTCTTCTCTTTTCTCTTACATGTAATATTATTTTTGTTATTGTTATAAATATCTACTGTTAACCATCTACTAGCTTTCTGCCAATATTCTCCATACTATTCTCAATTCATAGTGCTTTAAATCGATTTAATTTCATTCTTAATTGACTTAATTCGATTCGATATCTCGATTCATCGCAATCCTTGACGATATACATGGTGCCCTCTCGTGTCATTTTACAATTTTTCTTTTTCAAAATTTCTCTTTATTTTATAAATATTTTGCATTGTTTATATTTGTTTATATTTGATGCATATATATTTTATATAATAAATATTATTATATAAAATAATATTTATTATATAAAATATATAATAATAATATAATATATAATTATATAATAA